TGAACAAGCGGTTCGCCCAAAATCATCGCTTTGGTTCATTGCTTATTCAGACTGGTAAGATGCATTGTTCTTGCAATCGTTCTGGGCGGCGGAAAATAAATGCGCTGCTGCGTCAATTTCAGTATTTCCACGTTATCGTCATCGCTGCTACCCACATCCTCCGATAGTTGTCCATTGTCCGTAGGATTCTTCCAGGAAATCATGCGAAGGGTTCCCGCCATAATTGGTGAGATTCGCGGAACCGCGTTAACAGTGGTGCGCAGGGTCAATCTCATGGGTACAGCGTAAGGCTTTCCTCCTGTTTTCCGGAGGACAATCGACTGTCTGTCGAAATCCAGATTTGCTCGAAGAGCCACGAGAGCGAGAAGGCCAAAAAACACATCATACGTGTTAACATCCAATACCACGACATCTCCTAAAGCATGTACCTTCCCCAATCGAAACGCAACATTGGTCATCCGCCCGACTGTTTTGATATTTTCATCGTCTGCAGAGACGAGCTGGTCCTTCTCAATCAGCATGATCAAATCGCCATTTCGGCCAGCTCTTTCAACTACCCGTAAGGAAATGGCTAAAACGGCAGCCCCTGAATAGATTATTGCATTATACGGGACTCCCCATATCTCAATATCGCATTTCGCGAATTTCCAAGGAATTGGCTTAATCCGTAGGAAGTGATCATCTTTTTGGATTAATCCTAATCGGATTGGCTCCGATGGTCCAGCCTTGTTGTCGTCGGGCGTTGGGCTCTTAGCTTTCGTATTGGTCGTTCTGGCGAGGGCGAAACGTTTCTGATTCGCCTTGCAGTGTTGCAGCATTCGTTCGTTCACCTGTTCCATGATCGAAAGCAAATGACCGATTGGAAGGGGAATCCGATGGTCCAACGCTCGTACGATGTTTAAAACATCGATCTCGCCCGTGACGAAAGTGGGTCCTCTCGACTCCATCTCTCCTGGAGAGGGTCGCCACTCCGCCACTTCCTTCTGTTCTGGCGCAGGACGGATCGTTCCAATCATGCCCAATCCGGGGTAACCCAGCGATACATATTGATCCAGCGGAATGAGTTCCGCAGCTTCCTCGGCCGGTGCTAGCGTACTTCCACTGCCTTCTATCTCCTCCATCAAGGCACCTACTCGTCCAGGTCCGTTAGCGATAGGCGCCGTCGCAACAGGTGCAACTCCGACTCGCTGTTGCGGAGGTCGGTGCGAACAATCTCGGGCTAGATGCCCTGGCTGATGGCACGCATAACAGACATTCAATTTAGTTGCAGCTCCCCCGAGATTGGCAGCAGGCAGTGCCTGCCCCGTGAACGTGACTGGTACCGGTCACCAACCCGTGACCGGCCGGTCACCGAGCCTAAATCCCGTGAACGGCCGTTCACGGGGGCCGTTCACGGGGTTTACGCCCACGGGGGCGGCGGTGCGGTCGGAATGAGGGCGGGAGGGGGGTGGTGCGAGGCCCTTCTCTCTCTCTCTCTCTCTCTCTCTCTCTCTCTCTCTCTCTCTCTCTCTCTCTC